TTAACAATTTAACCAGCTTATAAGAAAATTCCAACATATAACAGTAAACAAATAAAGAGAGAAACTTCTTTTCTAATATATATATTTAAGGAATTTTGAGGCAGGAAACAGTTTGAGAGGCATCACAACATTTCTGAAAGTTTCAGTATTAAAAGTTTAGTCAAAATTCTATTCATTAATTCACCTGATTTTTTACATAATACATTCTATGTGCCAGACATTGGGCACATATGACAGATTTCCTTCTTGTGATTATGGGGTTTATTTGTATTCTGAAGGAGCAGGAAAAACAATGAGAATGCCTGGTGCTCTATGTTTTAGTTACTATGACTTGCATAAACAATTACCCCCAAAACTGAATGGTTTAAAACAATAACAAAATTTATTTTGTGCCTCAACCTGACATCTGCTCAGGACTGAGAAGGTACAAAGTTTAGGAGTTGAAATCATTTGAAGGTTGACATGTCTAATGTTTGAAGCTGGTTATCAACTGAAACTTCTCTGGAACCATTGGTTAAAAAAATTATTTGTGGCCTTTCAGTATGTCCTGGGATTCCTAAGATCATGGGGTATGAGTTTAGCCCCAAGAGTGAGAGAGAGGAAGAGAGAGAAAAATATATCTATATGGCCCTTTTGGATGTAGTCTTAGTTGTCACATAGCATTAAAACTTTCAGCACCTTCTATTCATTGAAACAGTTCAAATGTCCACCCATATTCAGAGAGAGGAGAAATAGACTCTATCACTTGATGAGAAGTTGTAAGATTCTAAAAGAGATTTGTGAACTGAAATATTGCTGTAGTTATTTTTGGAAAATACAGTCCACTACATTCTGTTATTTCAGTTTTTAGCCTAAGAAACAAAAACTTGAATGTGGTATTAATGGAAAAAAATATTTACTCATTTAAATCTTTCATTGAACTTGTTGTCTCTTTGGAGATATTCCTAATATTATTAATATTACTATTTGGAAATTCACAAACTGATTATGTTAATAATGTTACTTATGTTAATAATCAGTTTGTGAACTTCCAAATCTCTTGATCTTTAACTTTTTCTCTGCTATAGCCTAATAATTTGAGTGTAACATTCAAAAGTTGGTGTTGTAAAAAATTTATTGAAAGGAACTATATTAAACTTTTGAGTTTGGAATATTTAATTTGTAATGTTAATTTGAAAGATAGTAGTGCTATATCAAGTGGCTTTATGGATGATAATCACAACAACTTGAATAGGAAAAAAAAATCACAAATAAACTATATTCACTATCCCCAGCCAATCCCCATGAGAATTACCATTTTACTTTATAATGGTAACATAATGACTTGTTGACTTTGTGTATTGTAAATAAAACCTTGTCATAAACATTCTATGCCACATAACCTTGTTCAAAGATATTAATATGTTATGTTTTTATGGTAGAAATTATTTCTCCTTTCTTTAAAAAATGTTAGAGGCAGTGCTGGGTGAAGGACATAATGCAAAAAATAATTGTGAAAAAATTATGAAAAATTGTATTAGAAAAATACAAAGAATATGCCACTTTTGTCCAAATTAAAGGTGAGAGTACATTAGAGTGGAAAGGGTCATTGCTGAAATGATTACACTGGTCAAAATGACATCATCAAGCCTCACTTCATCATTTTTTTAAAAAATATTGTATTTATTTATTCATGAGAGACACAGAGTGAGAGAAAGAGACAGAGGCAGAGTCACAGGCAGAGGGAGAAGCAGGCTCCATGCAGGGAGCCCGATATGGGACTCAATCCCGGGTCTCCAGGATCACACCCTGGGCCCAAGGCAGGTGCTAAACCGCTGAGCCACCCAGGGATCCCCCATCAGTTTTTTTAAAGATTAGTAGGCAAAGGACTATGTCTGCTCTTTGAAAATGTCAAATAAAATGCTACTTTTCCAAAGTGTGAAGTAATGTTAATCTAAACTTTGCAAGCATAAATGTTATTAAGGAAACAAATTTAATGCATATAATTAATCAGAAATTATATATTCTTACAATGTTAGGACATACACAAGACAGCCTGAAGAGGATGAGAAATCCATTTTTTTTTTAATTCTTAGATACATTAACCATAACCTAAGGATGCTGAAGGAGAAAGAATAATAAAAGGCTTATAAATTCAGGTAAAGAGGGATCCCTGGGTGGCGCAGCGGTTTGGCGCCTGCCTTTGGCCCAGGGCGTGATCCTGGAGACCCGGGATCGAATCCCACATCGGGCTCCCGGTGCATGGAGCCTGCTTCTCTCTCTGCCTATGTCTCTGCCTCCCTCCCTCTCTCTCTCTCTCTGTGACCATCATAAATAAATAAATTAAAAAAAAATTTCAGGTAAAGAGAAAAGAAAATAATCTCACTTAAACCGTAATAGTTTAATCTTACTTAAACCAATAATAAAACTAAATGAATGCTTAATTTGAGAGAAAACAACCCAGTATACTGGATTAAGAGTAGATGACTACAGTACTACTAATTATATATCATTTACCTTATTTCCAAGTACTTCAGTTTCCTTATTATAATAGTAATGTTTGCTATGGACTACTTGCAAGGCTGCTCTGAATAAACACTAGACTGTTTCTGATACTTTTATGTTAATATTGGGACTGTTTCCAATCCACGTAGATATCCTTATGCATAAATCTTTTATGCATGTGCTAATGTATTAGTAGGATGAATGCTTTTTTTTAAGATTTTATTTATTTATTCATGAGAGACAGAAACAGAGATAGAGGCAGAAGGAGAAGCAGGCTGCCTGCAGGGAATTTTATGTGGGCCGTGATCCCAGGATCCCAGGATCATGACCTGAGCCAAAGGCAGATGCTCAACCACTGAGCTACCCAGGTGCCTCAGTAGGATAAATTATTTTTTTTTTTTAATTCATAGAGACAGAGAGAGAGAGAGAGAGAGAGAGAGAGAGAGAGGCAGAGACACAGGCAGAGGGAGAAGCAGGAACCATTCAAAGAGCCTGATGTGGGATTCGATCCAGGGTCTCCAGGATCACGCCCTAGGCTGCAGGCGGTGCTAAACCGCTGCGCCACCGGGGCTGCCCAGTAGGATAAATTCTTAAAGGTAGAATTACCACATCAGTGGGTATGTCTATTTTTCATTTTAAAAATATATTTAACACATAGTTTCTATTCTATGATATTGTCAGATGGCTGTTCATATTATTCTTATAAAATCAGTCAAGATAGGGATCCCTGGGTGGCGCAGCGGTTTGGCGCCTGCCTTTGGCTCAGGGCGGATCCTGGAGACCCGGGATCGAATCCCACATCGGGCTCCCGGTGCATGGAGCCTGCTTCTCCCTCTGCCTGTGTCTCTGCCTCTCTCTCTCTGTGACTATCATAAATAAAAAAAATTAAAAAAAATATTTAAAAAAAAATCAGTCAAGATAAATCCATATTTCCAATTTCTTAAGTTGTAAACCAAAAAACCAAAAAAAGGTGGATTTTTTTTTTAATATTCATGAATCTCTGAAAACTAGAAGAGACATAGCATATGCACACCTCAACTCAATAAGGGGATGGCACCAAACAGAAGAGAATTAGAGAATGAAGAGATTAAAAGTGTTGATCAAATCCATATGCACTGAGTATGTGTTCTTTTCATGTGACATACTTTTCTTTAAAACTTGCAATGGCCTTTGTAAAAATGATGTATATAATTTGTCAGACAGTATAGTTTAATATATGGTACTTTCTTCTCATTTCTTAGGCAGTTGAAGTAAATGCATAAGCTACTATCAAATAGAGATCTTTAGGGGTTTTTAACATCAAAAATATGTCAAAGTCTTTTTATTTCCCATCTAACATGTTAAGAGTTTAAAAATCATCACTCCTTTCCTCACAAGAAGAAAAATAGTGAACAAATTGAAAGTCAATTCTTAGAGCCATGAAAGAACTGTTTTCTTTCTTCTTTCTTTCTTTCTTTCTTTCTTTCTTTCTTTCTTTCTTTCTTTCTTTCTTTCTTTTTTTTTTCTTTCTTTCTTTCTTTCTTTCTTTTCTCTTTCTTTCTTTCTTTTTCTTTCTTTCTTTCTTTCTTTCTTTCTTTCTTTCTTTCTTTCTTCTTCTTCTTCTTTCTTTCTTTCTTTTTTTTTTTTAAGATTTTATTTACTTATTGATGAGAGAGACACAGAGAGAGACAGAGACACAGGCAGAGGGAGAGGCAGGCTCCTTGTAGGATGCCTGGTGCGGGACCTGATCCCAGGACCTCTGGACCATGACCCAAGCCAAAGGCAGACACTCAATAACTGAGTCACTCAGGTGCCCCAAATAACTGTTTTCATAGGAAAACTGCTATCCTGAAAAGAAAAGATAAGCCAAATATAACTTAGTTAGATTTTGCCAAGCAAAACTTTAGAACAAAAGAAGAAATATATTACTGAGTAAATTGTTCTTTTTTTTTTTTTTTTTTTGCATTTTTGTAAAGGAAAGACAAAGAAGTATTCAACTACTACTCTATAAAAACAAGGGCCAAGAAGACGGGAGATTTGGAAAAGAAGAAAGGAGAGTATTGTTTACTCAGAAAACCTATATTCTTCATAATTTTCCATTACACTGGCTCTGGGAGGGTCCTGGAAATGTGAGAGAGTAAGAAATTATTGTAGCTAAAACAGGTGTTGCTAAAGAAAAGAACATGTCCATGTGTCAGATTGTCCAATTTTTGCCACATTAAATTTTTTAGATTTCTTACAACTGATAATAGTGCTGTTTGCCCCAAACTTTCATTGCCTGAAACTTAAGATTAGTGGGTTTACAGGTTTCTTTTTTCTTTTTTTTTTTTTTAATTTTTATTTATTTATGATAGGCACACAGTGAGAGAGAGAGAGGCAGAGACACAGGCAGAGGGAGAAGCAGGCTCCATGCACCGGGAGCCCGACATGGGATTCGATCCCGGGTCTCCAGGATCGCGCCCTGGGCCAAAGGCAGGCGCCAAACCACTGCGCCACCCAGGGATCCCAGATTAGTGGGTTTAAAAGTAAACTTTAGAGTGCTAACTTTGGCATTACATGTACTAAAATTGGAATGATACAGAGATTAGCATGGCCTCTGTGCAAAGATGGTACACAAATTTGTAAAAGTAAACTTTATATTGTTCTTTCCTTTTAATTTACATTTGAAATATCAATTTTGAAATTAACAAACAAATTTTGGCTCAGATGACTATCATAGGTGGACAAATGGATGAGGTGACTCAGGTTTAAAAATACAAAGACATGCAGAAAATTGCAAAGCATTCTTCGTGAAATCAATGTTTATAAAGTATTCAGGGACAATCTTTAAATGGTTGCTACATCTGTGGCTATAACATCTTCTGGCCAGTGAAAAGTAAACCATGAAAGAGAGAAAGATAAAACAAGGCAGTTTACATTGGTGGCAGCTGCTCTACTATGCCCAGGATGTGTCATCTTTACTGACACTTAAAAAGCATATATAAAAACACTTAATGTGTTTGGGTTACTGTTGATGACAGATTGTCACCAAGTCTATCTTCTGTGTAATTTCTTCTCCAAGTTCATCTTAAAAGACAGATGCTTCAGGTATTTTGGGACTTACAAATTTAATGGGTTACTATTTTTCTGTTGCAACTGGTGTTTCTAGAATGATAGTGTAAGTGTTCAGAATAGCTAATGTGATGGAAATCTCTGAAATTGTAATTATGTGCTTTGATTCTGTTTATAAAGAAGTGAATTTGGTGGCATCAGTTCCTTAAAATAGACAAAATGTCACAGGACTGTAGTGTATATTTGTTTCGAAAGACAAATAGTAGGAGTTAGAGTTGCTCATAGGACAACTGAATAACTTCATGAGTTGGTACTAATGGGAAATTAGCAATTTTTTCTGACATGTATGTTGTCCATATGTAATTAATCTTGAAGCCACAAGGACTAGTGATATGGAAGATTTGGGGACATAGATATTTTTTAAAAGGTGCCCTTACACTGGCATCCTGTTTTGCCACTTTTGATCCTATTAATTTGAACTTGTCTTATTTCTTGACTATCATGCTTTATTTAAATTTTCAGTCTTTTCACATGTAGCTTGTCTTTTCAACATCCTGTCTCCACCCATGTGACAAATATTCAATTATCTTCTGAGTCACTACTTAGATATCATTACCACTTATCCCAGAAACATTTTTTTCTCCACTAGATCTGGGTTACAGACCCTTCCTTTGGTGCCTTTCCTAGTCTAGTGCTGTGAGGTATGTTGGAAACTATCTTCATTATCACTGTATTCTTACTATAGTAGAATATAAATATAAATATTTATATATATAATATAAAATAAATATAAAATATTTATTACTGTTACTATCTAAAACGTATAAGAAAATGATTTTTTATCATTGAGTATCAGAGAAAAGATTTACTTCCTGTGAGAGTTACTACTTAATTTTTTCTCTATGAGTTTGGGACTACTTGGTCATATCCATTTTCTATAGCTGCCATAATGAATTACCACACAGTTACTGGCTAAAAAAAACCACAAATTTATTATTTTACCGTTCTGTAGGTCAAAGATAGAAACAGATCTCATCAGGCTAAAGTCAATAGGTCGGTAGGCTGTGTTCTTTTCTGGAGATTCTGGGGGAAAATCAATTTCCTTTTCTTTTCAAGCTTCCAGAGGCCCTCTTCCAACAACTTTAAAGTCTACAAGTTTGCAGCTTTCTGTGATTTTCTTCCATAGCTGCATCTCCCTGTGATCTTCTTCTTCTGACTACTACTTTTACTTCTAAGGCCCCTCGAGATTACTTTGGGCCTTTTGGATGATCCAGGAAAGTCTCATTTTAAGGTCAGATGATTAGCAATCTTAGTTCCAGGTAGAACCTTTAGTTTCTTTTGATTTTGCAATCTAACATACAGGTTCCAGGGATTAGGACTTGGCATGTCTGGGGAGGAAAATCATTCTGGCTATCACACTGTTTGAATTCACTTCCTTTGTTTTGTTTGACTTTATATATGTTCTTCCAAATGACATATCTGTCAAATGTTTGTTCAAATGAGATGTTCTATTTATACAGGATTAATTGCATTGCAACTGAGTCAATTGCAGTATAGTTAGACCTACATAAACCCAACTGTGATACAATTAATCCTGTATAAGTCATCAGAGTAAGACTTCCAATGTCAATGAATTGGGTCCACCAAACTTAAAATCACATTTTCAAATTAGTAAGAATACTTATATCCATTCCAAGCAGAGGTAATTTTTTTCATTATAAATATGAGAGAAATTTTAAAAACAATGTTAAGTGCAGTTTTTATTCCCAATTAGTGAAATTCAAAGTATATATACTTGAATCTATTGAAGGATATTATATTAAAGATAAACAGCAGTGAGCAACACTGCAGCTGAAATTTGAGAGACACACCTAATCCTCAGAACAACTGGAACCAAGAATTTGAATGAGGTAAAGATTGAGCTTCTCTCCTTTTCTTCTTTTCTAATTTTCTCTTTGAATCTACTCCATTGTTTTCACTCACTCAGGCTTCTTCTCATAATACAAAATGAGTCCTCTGATGGCTTTTGAATTTTACATCTCATAAATTTAATTGCTGGAAAAAGCTTCACCTTATACTCTTGGACCAGGCCACATCTAATAATCCTAAATTAGAAACTTAACTCATTTGGTTTAGTTATCCTCCTGTGGACCAATCAACTGAAGGCAGGCGTGTATGTCACTTCACATTGTAGTAAAAAATATGATGCCCTTGTGGAAAAGGTAGCAGCAATATTTCCAAGAAAATACTAACTGAAAAAACAACCCCATCAGTAACCAAAACAAAATGTAATTAGTAGTTAATATAGCATGTTCAATAAATATCAATTACCTGAATGAACAAATAAATGATTAGTATGTTGCCATATAGATATAAATTCTACTTTGCACCCTGATATTATCAATAATTTGTCACCATCCGCTACAATTTTTCCTTACAGGCACTACAATGAGAATTAAAAGTTAATGTTCATGGATATAAGGTACATAATAATCCTATTCACAAAAGTAATATTTTGTTAGACTCAAAGATTTCTAATTACTAAGAAAATGGGTATGTGGGAAATGTTTTCCACAGCCAAATTAATTTTAAGTTAAAAATAAAATACCTCATTCTTTGAGTATTCTTTTTAATGAAATAAAAATGTATATGTACTCAGTTTGCCTGGCTCCAGAGTATGTGAGAATTAGCACAATTCCTCGTGTGTTTTTTAAATAGCTTTATAGAGGCATAATTGAAATAACAAAAAATGACACATATTTAATGTATACAATTTCATGGATCTTAACGTATACATTTACCTGTGAAACCATCGACTCAATCAAGATAATAAGCATATTCATAACCTCTAGACATTTACTCCTGCTCCATACCCCCCCTTTTTTAGCAAGAGCTCTTAACCTGAGATCTACTCTATTAACATATTTTAATGTACATTACCATATAGTATTGTTAACTAATACAGTATTGTTAACCATAAAATGATTATAGTATTGTTATAATTAGCATTGTTAACAACAGTATTAACTAGTATTAATCATAGCATTGTTAACTATAAATCTGTACAGCAGATCTCTAGAACTTATTCACGTTGTGTAATTGAAACTTTATACCCACTGAATAACAACTCCCTATTTTACCCTTCCCCCATACTCCTGACAACCATCATTCTACTGTTGCTTCTTTAAATTTGATACTATTTAGATACTCTAAAAATGAGGTCAATGAGTATTTGTACTTCTGTGACTGGCTTACTTCACTTAACTTAATGTCCTCCAGGTTCATCCACTATCAGTTATAGCAGGATTTCCTTCTTTTTAAGCCTGAATACATTACATTGTATGTATATACCACATTTTCTATACTCATTCATCTGTTGTTGGATGAACATTTAGGTTGTTTCCATATCTTGGCTTTTCTGAGTGATGAATACTGCAATGAACAGGGAGTGTAGATATCTCTTCAATATCCTGATTTCAATTATTTTGGATATATAACTGCAAGTGAGATTACTGGATCATAGAGTAGCTCTATTTTTAATTTTTTGATGAACTCTTTTACAGTTTTCTATTGAATATGCACTATTTTACACTCTCACCAGCACTATACAAGAGTTCCATTTCTCTGTATTCTCATCAACATTTATTATCTTTTGATTTTTTGATAATACTATCTTATTCTGTCTCCCAGATGATAACTGATGCTGAGAATCTTTTAATGTACCTTTGGCCATTTGTACATTTCTTTGGAGAAATGTCTATACGGTTTGTTTGCCCATTTTTAACTGGGTTATTTGCTCTTGTTGGTTTTTTTGTTGTTGCTGTTTTTTACTATTGAGCTGTAGGAGTTCCTTTATATTTTGGGTATTAATCCCTTATTAAATACATGGTTTGCAAATATTTTCTCTCAACCCACAGGTTGCTTTTTCATTTTATGGAATGCTTCCTATGCTGTGCAGAAACAAATTTTATACTTTTTGTTTTGTTTTGTTTTGCTTTTGTTCCTGTGCTTCTGGTGTCAGATCCAAAAAAAAAAAATCATTGCCAACAAGATTTTCTCCTAAGTTTCTTTGTCTTACATTAAATCTTTAATCCAGAAGGGAAGTTGAGGGAAGGGCAAGATGACAGAAAAGTAGGGGTCCTCAACTCACCTGGCCCCATAAACTTACTTGGATAATTTTCAAAACATCCTGAACACCGAATGAATTCGACCTGCCATCTAAAGAGAGAACCGCTGGAACACTACAGAGAAAAAAGTTTTTGCTTCTAACAAGGCAAGAAGGTGAAAAATAAATAAATAAATAAAGTGGGGAAAGGGAACTGTGACTATCAGGGTTAAAGCAGAACAATGACAGCTTCCAGGGCACCAAAGCTCAGCCCTGGAGAAGCAGGAATGTTAAAAATCCATGCCAGTTTCCCCGGATGGAATAGTGCTTAGCCGGGAAATTGGGCAGAATCACAGGAAGGGCAGGGAAGCCTCCAGATTCCCAGAGTCACTATAAGAAGAAGGGCGCCCTGTGGGGAAAGCTCACCACAAACTGTGGTCCATATCAGTTAAGGCCCGGAGAGCTGCAGCCTTCTGGGCACTTGG